TACTTAGTTACTACTACTACTACTACTACTACTACTACTACCACCACTACGGCTACCACCACTACGGCCACCATCATTCTGCTGCTGCTTCAGACCCTAAACATGAAAGCTCCAACACCCAAACGCCCGAAGCTCTCAATAATCGCTCATTTACTCCAAACGGTGGAAGGGCCGATCGGCGCTTGTCGCATTTGAAGATATGGGAGTTTCAAAAAATATAGGGGACTCGAGTATAGGACCGTAAATTGATGGCTTCCTTTTCGGGTTTAGATTAGGGTTTAAGGTTGTAGAGAATACCGGACTCGAACATGGGACCCTAAATTGATGAAGGATCCAAACCACGAACAAACATACAGTTTACAACGCTTGCAAAGGCACACTGCCATGCCGTACTATTCTGAAATTGATAGGCTCTTAGAAGGGTTTAGGGTTTGAGGCTTAGTTTAGGGTTTTGGGTGTATCATGATACCGGATAAGGTCCCCGGAGCTTTTTGAGACTCCCATGCAGCTCATGGACAAAACCTGCCTCGCCACGAATTCTTCACTAGACCACTGCAGCTCCCATAGCTCAACGTCCTGATCCATCATAAGCCTAAACCCTAATTTCTAAGGTACTCCCTAAACCCTAAACCCTAAACCCTAAACCCTAAACCTGCGGTATGTTGTCCATGAGACGCATCACTTTTCATAGAGGATGTTGGGATCTTCGACCCGGATCCTCCCCGGGAGTCCCAGAAGTCTGAAACTCTGCCTAGGGCCTGCTAGGTTAGGGTTTAGAGTTTAGGGTTTAGGGTTTAGGGTTTAGGGTTTAGGGTTTAGGGGTTTATATAGAAGTGAGTAGTGGTGGTAGGGATTTTGGCCTTGAGGTGTTGGGGTGTATCTTCTCTTTGGTGAGAGCCTTCTGGTCTCCAGGGCAGCAAGACCCTTGGAGTGTGAAACACTCTGCTGCGACCTGCTGTCAGGTGGCCACAGTGGACAAAATCAGCAATCTATTGCCCAAGGGGGACATGGCGCTCACAATTCCACCTCCGTCCAGCTCCAATCTTCCGTACTCCGGGTGGTGGCAATACATGTAGCAGAAGAAGTGGAGCACAAGCATAAACAGTGGCAGTAGTGATGTTTGCACCAGTTTGTGTGGCAGGAGTACAGCAACAGGCAATAGCAAGGGCTGACATTCCTAGGAACCCTGAACCCTGGAGGGACAAAGGCGGCCATACAGGTCCCATACCCAGAACCATAAAAGATAGAAACGACAGCATGACAGGGTCCCTGAACCCTCAACCCTGAACCCTCAAAACACCCTACACCAAAACCATACACCCTACATGCGACACCACCCATGGATCGCTGGAGGCTGGTCGGCAGGAAGAGCCAAGATTCCTGCCCACCCTGGGCGGAAAAAAACCGTGTCACAAAACGCGAAAAGGCAAAAACGAGTCGCAATGATGGCCTCAGGCTCTAGCGAGTCAAACTGTGCAAAAATCAGATCTCAAAATGGCTGCTGGCCATTGCATCTGCGAATATTCTTCCGACTTCTTCCATCCGTCCTTCCAGCGCCTCCATCAGAAAGTGCGGCAGCGATTGCTCTCGGGCGAAATCGAACACGGTCCACTTTCGGCCATTGCGCAAGTCGAGCTTGGCCCCTTCTGCAATTAGCGCCGCAGCTCCTTCATACTGCCCTGACCTTGGATGTCATGAGAACTGATGAGAGCAGCAATGATTTGTAAATCTAGAAACAAACGGGAGTGAGCAGCCATTTGTGCTAGGAATTGCCGTCGATAGAGTAGCAGAGATGGTAATCAAACTGCGTCCCAAGTTGAGAACAACCTGTATCGTGTTTGTGCTAGGAATTGCCGTCGATAGAGTAGCAGAGATGGTAATCAAACTGCGTCCCAAGTTGAGAACAACCTGTATGGTCGGATGCAAAATGGAAAGCGAACTCATGCTAAGAAGATCAGCGGCATGACGGCAGCCATGAGGGGCGTCATGCCATCCGCATGATACGCAGCTCTGCTAGCAAAAGTAGGCTTGCCGAATTTCTGCTGAAGAATTCTCACGGAAGTGTAGATGCCATGTAAAGAAAACCAGCTCTGCTTGAACTGGTGGTCGACATCTGCTCTCAAAGCCAGCAGTCTATGCACAAGCTCGGCTTTACCGCCGCGGTTGGCCATAGCACAGAAGAGTGCCCGAGATATGTCGATTTGGTACGCTGCTTGCTGAAGGAGCTCGTCTGCAGCCTCCAGACCGCCGAACCCGCACGCAGCTTCAAAGGAAGAGAAACCGAAAACGTCCTCCAAAAGCGCAGAGCTTGCAAGACACATGGTTCAGGTTGCGACACCGAGAAATTGCTAGGCAAGAGCTCCCTTGTGTGCCACATGTTCAGCACGATATCCCAACATAGACATGTACATGTATATGTATATATATATATATAGAGAGAGAGAGAGACGTATGTGCATATATGTATGTATACATGTATACGTATATACGGATGTACAGATATGCACGTGTACAGATACATCATGAGTCATCAACGACATGTGTTCTCCGCAGCTTTTATGTGTGAACAAGCAGGCATGGTAAATATTGTGTTCCCGCACATGTCGTAGATGCATCCCATATGTATGCATGTATGTATGCCTGCATGTATGCATGTATGCATGTATGCATGTATGCATGTATGCATGCATAATATAGTTGTGTGCATGTGCATACAGAGCACACATACGACAAAAATGAGCCACGGTATATCTTTTGATATGCCAAGATAACACGACATCTAATTCACGGTACTCGGTATATCGCATATCTCAGATACACAGAAAAAGGTATGTGTGTGTGTGTGTGTGCATGTATATGGACAGATACATAGGCACAGAGTGAGAGACAGAGAGTGTGTGTGTGTGTGTGTGTGTGTCTGTATCTGTGTGTGTGTGTGTGCGTATCACCTGTCCTAAACCACGCATCATAAGCCACGTGACATGCATAGTTCATACCGAAAGCATCACACATCACATCACATACAACATCCGATATATAGATACAACATATGCCCAACATAGCACAGTGCATGTAAATATGCCTGTTGAAAGCATAAACTAGCATATGCAAACAAGGTGGCATGTGCGTATAGATATATACATATATATTTATGTAGATGTGTATGAATGTATGCATGCAGGCATGTATGTATGTAAGGGTGTATGCATTGCAATCTATCAGCTCGTTTCTGTTTGAAGCAGACCCACCGAAAATTAAAGATGTAAGACTCCCATCAACAAACTTGCAGTAATGCTTGAACTTACGACGGACGGGCTTCGAATTCAAGCCGCTTCAGCGTTTTCAAGCCATCCGCCCCTAAATCGATCATTCTCCAAAAACTTTTCGCTTTTGTCTTCAATCTTCAGTGTTCCGTGATTCGGCTTGAAATTCAAGCCACTTCAAACTGTCCACCCCGAAACCGAAGATTCCCGCAACACTTTCTCTGAAATCTGCAATTTACAACCTTCGGCGTTACACTTTAGAGGGCCTCTTGCTGAAATTCGAAGGAAGCCATAACCTTCTTCTTAACATTTCCGCGTCGGATTTCTGCAGCAGAAATCCGACGCCACTGCAGTAGTGTTTTCGACTCTATCCGATTCTATCCCCAACAAACGAAGACTTGGGTTCTTGTTGTTATGCCTGAATTCCGGGCTCGGGCCTTTGGCGAGTACTGCATGTACTGTATGAACTGCATGTAATGCATGCATGTAAGGTCTGTCATGTATGTAATGTATGTAATGCATCTGTATTGTATGTAATGTATATGTAATGTATGTAAGATACATAGTTCACGAAACCGGTGTATATAAGTATGAATGAAGTGAATGTATGTATGTCAAGCTTGCTTGCATGAAGTGTATGTGTGTGTGTAGTAGGTATGACATGTATGCATGTTGGTACCGTAATCAACCAATAATGTATGTGTGTGTTGCGCGTATAGTGCACGCACGCATGCATGCATGCATGTGCCGACGTAGCAACCTGCGTGTGCACGTATGCGGGGGTAACTAGATATGCAGGTTGGGCGGGCGGGCGGACGTGGGAGGTACATCGGTATGTATACATATATGCTACGCATGTGTGTGTGTATATATATATATGTGTATATATCTTATAGATAGATATATATATATATATGTGATATATATATATATAATGGTATACATATATATATATATATTGTAATATACAAACACACACACACACACACACACGCACAGTCATGTTTGTATAGACACACAAGTTGTGTTCGGACATCGGTACAGTGCTCAACAGGCACGAGTCCTTGGAGTGGACCTTGCAGCCAGCCCCACACAGAATGCGGATGCCCTCCGCGTTGTTCGCCATGGCTGCCATGTGAAGGGGAGGTTGGATGCCAGAGTCGAGCTGAGCCTTCGCTGCAACGAGCAGCCGAGTAGCCTTGCTGTGTTTGAACATGACACAAATTGCGAGAGCCGAGGCCCAGGGTTGAACTCCAGCCTGTGGTTGGTCCTTTTGGGTGAGGCGGTGAAGGTCCGCCCTTTGGTCCAGCAAGCTTTCGACCACAAGAGCGTCCCCTGCCAAGGCGGCATAGTGCAGGGGCGACCAACCTCGACTGTCGACGTCGCCCACGCTGGAGAAGCCATTCTCATGCAGGAAGCGAGATGCTCTCAGGGAGCTGGGGTCCTGAACCCTGGAATCCACAAAGCCGGGTACCAGATCTCGCCAGGGCTGGACCGCAAATCCTCGAAGGTGGACATGCTGCAAGTTCAGGAGCACCCGGTAGCCCTCCAAGTCCTCCTTTTGCAGCAAGAGGTGGAGCTTGCGCTTCAAGGCTTGCAGCAGTACTTCTGCTAGCTGCAGCTTGTCTTCGGCCACTGTGAAGGCCCCCTCCCCAGCTGATCCCCCGATCGATGCGAAGGGTGATGCAATCAGCTCAAGTTCTGTGCGGCTTCGGATCAAAATCCAGGAGGAATTTTCGGACAGTTCACGACAAGCTCTCTCAAATCTACACCAACCGCGGTCACCCCAACTGAAGGGTGTGAACACCTTCGACTGGCTTGCGCTGTCGATGACTGGGCAAAGCGCGAAGAAGAAGGAGCACCTCGAAATATAGGCGGGGATGCTGGAGATTGCCTGGACAAGTTCACCTCGGTTTGAGTGAAAGGGCACCTAAAGCTCGACGTGGATAGCTGGGTGGTTGTCAAAATTATGGTGCCTTTTTGGGTCCTTATTATATTACGGCACCTATTGTTTAGGGTACCCCAAAAGGGACCATCATGTTGACAACTATCCAGGTATCTTCAAGACCGTAAGCGAACGTACAAGGTGGTCCCGAAGTGTCACCTAGCGACTGCCTTCAGCATTTCGTAGCCCACCTTGCAGTGAGTCGATGTTTTGAAGGTCAAGCTGCGGGCAGGAAAAGTAATCATACCAGATGAAGAGGGGCTCTCCCCTGATCTCCTCCGTATTAAGAGGCTTCGCACCGAAGACCAGCAATTCCGTGAAGAAGTCCAGGCAGATGTAAGGCATCTTCGACAGCACATGCTTCAAAGCATCCTGGAGAACTCTCAGCTGCTTGAACTCGGGGTCCGGATGCTTCTGGCCCACCCACTGGTGGGACACAAAAGCTGCTTTGCCCATGGTCTCCTCGAAATCCACCAGGAGACCTCGCTCCTTCAGCACTTCGTGGGGTTCGATTTCCCCCATTTCCAGGAGCCTCTCCACGGGCAAAGTGTACATCGGGAACTGCATCGGAGGCTTCGACGGACTCGCCGGGCCCCTGGCTGCCAAGGACTTCGCATAGCGCTGTAGTGGCGTGCTTCGGGCCGTGCCATTCCCACACAGAACCATGACGGAGCAAGCTGCCAAGCTCTTGAGCTACTTTTAGAAGGCACCGCCCTGAAGCAGGAACTCGGGATCAAGACCAAACTCTGAAGGGGCTCTCATGGTGAGGACTTCAGGATGCATGTTTCAGACTATCTGCAAAGAGTATGCGGAGCGATCATGCTGAAGTTGCACGCAGCATACACGCGGCAAGCAAAGGTGGCAGTCGCCAGTTACTGATGATGAGAAGGAGGAAAAGGAGGAGGATATTGCTGCTGATCGTGAATATATACTGATCGTGAATATATGTGAACAAGAGACCATCAGAAGCAATGCACGGCAGCAAATAAAGTAAGACCACCACCAAACAGCAGCAACAGCAGCAAAGCCAACAACGAATATCACAGGCATTCCAGTCACGATCATCATCATCAGCAGCAGCACAATCATCATCACAACCATCGCCACCATCACCAACATAAACATCATTACCATCATCGTCACCATCATCATCAATATGATAGCCATCCGTCGAATGAAAACAGTAGAGGTGAGACTAGTTGCGCCACAACAGGAGGTGGAGCAGCAAGAGGAAGCAGAGCAAGAGGATGAGGAGGAGGAGGAGGAGGAGGATGTGGAGAAGGAGGAAAACAAGGGGGATTACCAGCAGCAGTAGTCGCATTACCTGCTGTACGAGTAGCAACAAGAGCACTGGCAGCCGAAGCACTCCTGGCAATACCAAGAGCCGAAGGCGAAAGATAGCATTAGTAGTGGTGGTAGTCGTCGTCGTCGTGGTGGCAGTGGTAGTGGAATGGCAGTGGTAGCGGCAGCGGCAGCGGTAGTAGTAGCACTTGCTAGCAGTATTACACATGGTAGATAGTAATGAAAACGAATGGAAAAAGTAGAAGTAGTTGTAGCAGCAGAAAGTAGTAGTAGAAGAAGAAGTAGAAGTAGAATTACAAGTAGAAGTAGAGGCCGTCCTAAACCCTGAAAGGAGGAGGTTCACCGTTCTTGGGCGGTGCCTTGTCGAGGTCTGTAGCCGAAAAACGTCGAAAAGCACATCGATCGGCGCTCAAGGGCTTGATACGGGCGGGGGGTGGGGGGTGAAGGGTTTAGGGTGCAGGGTTTAGGGTGTTCTCCCAGGCTTCTGCTACAGAATTTTGAAAGTCCTTGTACGGTTCTGATAGGGGTCCTGATCGGTGTTTTGTTGCGACTTAGTGTAACTCTGTTGTGAATAGGTCTGGTTCATGCTGGTAGGATTCTGGACTCAGCATCTTGGCGGTGCTTGGGGTTCTTGGCTTTCTGAGTCTTGGCGGGTCTTCCCACCAACGCTTGCGGAATCTGCAAGATATTACGCATAAGCAGAAGAGGTGGTGCTTCTTAATCTCATCAACGAGCGGGACTACATATTGCAACAGCCCCAACCGCCGGACCGCGGTATTGACAATGAACTGGTTAATCATAAGAAGTTTTCTGTCAATGCTTCTTGAGATGATCCTACAGCCAGAAAGACAGAATATCATACTGTTCAAGGGCCATACCAACTGCAGCCAGTAAGCTAGCATGTCGTTTCATACCACTGCTGCCACCATTGGTATCCCTACGCTTCGTCAGGTTCGCAGCAATACGGGGGTTTCCGAAAATAGGGGACCCTAATATAGTACTCTAAATAGTAGGATCCTTATTATAAGGGCCCCAAAATAAGGAACCCCTAATTTTCGGAAACTCCCATATAGATTAAAATTCGTTGACAGTGCGGGGAAGTTGTAGCCCCTGGCCGAGCCGTGCTCCAAAGTGTTCTCCAAGAAGATCTCGACCTCTTCGGCAAGCCGGGGTAGGGGGGGCCTTCCCCTAACTCAACACCCCAAACCCTAAATCCATAACCCTGAACCATGAAAACCACACTCGAAACCCTAAACTAACCCTAAACCAACCCGAAACCCTACACTCAAAGCATTAAATCCTAAACAAGTAACCCTAAACCAACCCTAAACCCTACACTCAAAACATTAAACCCTAAACAATAAACCCTTCGGAGTCGAGATTTAAGGAGTCGAGCCCGCCAAAAGCTACGCAGAAATCCCAGCCTTTTGCGGCTTTGGGGAATAGGGATAGGGCCTGAGGGTTTATGGGGTTTAGGGTGTTTAGGGTTTAGGGTTAAGGGGTTTAGGGTTAAGGGTTATGTAAGATAAGAGTCATAAGAGTTTAAGGTTTACGGTCAGAAGTTTCATCCAGGAAAAGGAGTTGCTGCTTTGGCATCTGCCACAGGTAGGGCTTGGACCTCTAGTGTAGAGCTAAGGGTTTAAGGGTTTAGACTGATTCCATTTGTAGGGTTTGTGACGGTGTCTTTCGGAACAAGGCTCTCTCAGTAACAATGCATAGACAAACCTGCATGTGCAGGCCAAAGGAATAATCCGGATCCCAGACCCTGCGTCCAAAGTGTTACCGATGAATCCTTGACCCTCGACCGTCTTTCAGCAAAAGGTACTGTATTGGGCAGCAAGTTATGCAGGCATCTGCCTAGACCAGCGGTTCTGTCCTCCTCAAGGATTGGCATTACGCATTCTTCGGAGGCATCCTAGACATCGTACGTAGTAGGGTTCGGAGCTTGGGGTTTGGACGTTGCACATGATGACCATGGACAATGACGACAAGTGTGCTTGTCGACATTGCTGTCACCTCGAATCCCAGGATCAAGTTCCCATTAGCACACTGCCTTGTAGGATTTGCGGCTGGTGGGCCAGAATGCCAGAACGCGCAAAACTTGCTGAAACATGCTTCCGATGCCAGGGCCGAGGGTATTGCTAGATCTCACAATGGCAGCGATGACAGCCATCATAATCATCGTCACCATCGTCATCATCATCAACAACACCGTCATCAGCATGATTTTGTAAGTGTAGGCACTGCGACTTCCGTATGACGTACTCTGACCACTTCCAGTTGCTCTGACTGCCACTGACATGATTGCTTGCTGCCTGCTGTGGTACCTGGAAGTCTTACCATTTGCTGACTTACTTAGCTGCTACTATTCTCCCACGTTTTCGCGCCGATGCTACCATGTCACCACAACACGTCTCATGCTTCTTCAAACGCAGGTGCACCACAAGCACAAACATCGTGTGCTAACATCTATGCATACTGAATATCATTCGAGGTTTCCGCGCCTCTTCCAAAGCGCCCGGGCTGCCGACCACTTCCGCACGCCAGGGAGCCATGGAATAGCCTGAAACACACGTACCCCGATGTGCCTCAGGGTTTAGGCTTCAGGGTTCCCGGCTAACGGATTGACATGTGGAGTGAGACGTCTGGTAAGTCTAGCCATCATTTCCACTCTCCCTTCGATGGTGACATCTATCTGGGAAAGGCTCTGGAAAACGACCCCTTGCTTCAAGAAACCCGGTCTGCTCTAGAAGAACTGAATATTGCTGAAGGGATGCCTGCTGGCTGTGCGAAGTTCAGCTGGCGAATGCCAGGCCTGCAATCGCACCGTTCAAGCTTCCGGGCTCAGAACTTTGGGTCTCACGGCTTAGGACTTTAGGACTTCAGTGCCAAAATTGCGTTTTTGTCTGCGGATTTCGGTATTTCAAGGCGCGAGGATTTTGGTGTTGTTTACACTGCAACGGTGCGGGTTTCAAGCAAGAGGGGGGCCAGCACGCTTTCCCCCAGAAGCGGAGTATCGCACCACGATCCTGGCAAGAGGAACCGCAAGGGGGGTCAGGGCTCAGGGTTTGAACCCTCCAGCTGTACACTGAACTTGTTGCCGATGCACCATCCTAAGCCTAAGCCCAAAACATAACACCTTCAAACTTGATGCCTCTTTGCGTTCCTTGTGCACTTCGCCGGTGTACTCGCGCTTGTGCTGTGTGATTTCCAGTTGAACTGAAGGTTTACAGGGCACTACGGGGTTTCCGGGAGTAGGGTTTGGGTGTAGGATGTCGGTGTCGGGCTTACAGGATTTCGGCTCTAGGGTGTAGAGGGCTTGAGGTTGGGGGCGTCGGAAATTGGGGCTTCGGGCCTTGGATACGGGGCTCCAGCCCTCAAGTTTTACGAGTTCAGCAGAAAGCCTACTATTCTTGGGGAGTGAAAACCTAGACCTAGACTGAGGCGTTGGGGGCTTTTGGGTATAGTATACGGTACAGTGTACTCAGAAAACTCATTCCTCAGGCTCCGAAAGCAAACCCTAAACCCTAAACCACAACCAAAACCAAGCGCTTGCACAGCCTGCCTCGCCAGAATGGACTCACGCAGCGACTGGAGCAGGGCTCAGCAAGAAAACATGACATGACTGTCTATAATATGATATAACATGATAGACTATCATGTCATACCATTTGATAGAATATAGTGCAATATAATACAATATGATACGAAGATGTGATATAAAATATGATAAATGTAATGTCGCATGGTAAGATAAAATATAATATAATGTAATGTAATATTATACAGTATAATATAGTATGAAATGAAAATTACATTATCATTTCTTACGATAAAAACACATCAGAGGACACAACTCCTGGAAGCTTCGGAAAGACAACCTCAACGATGCAGACTCCATGATCTCGCAGACACGGCCACGGAAGAACTAAAAGGATTCGAGCCAAGCTGCAAACATGAGGCGCTTGCGGCAAGAGACAAAGAAACAGAAGGCGGTGGAAGAAGCCTTGTTTTGAAGCGACGAACGAACACTCGCGCCGGCTCTTCCCACTCCGGGTCGAGCCGACAGTTTTGCAGCGACGAACGGTGGTGTCGTCTCTTCCCACTCCGGGTCGAGCCGATCCGGCCGATTATGCTTGTCGCCAGCCAATTAGCACCGGAATCTCGGGCAGCACGAAAACTGCTGCGTGCGCTGTCTGCACGCTCAGTTCCCGCACATTTAGGTGACAAGCTGATAAGTCAGGGAACGAGAAAACGGAACGCGCATGCGCGGGCGACTGCTGCGCGAGAAAGTGCCTCATGTACGACTCGATGTACCCAGCCAGCTTAACCGGCTGATCCACGTGCCGATGATCCTCGCTCAGTGCCTCCACGAATCCTCAGCCAGTAACGAAACGAGCTGCAGCTAGTCATGCTTGCACTGAATCTGACAGACTTCCCCTTTAAGGCTCGGGCTCGCCACATGTTTCTGGCCCTTCTTGACGTGAAACTTTGCAAACTTGCTATAGTTGGGTGCCAGGGCGTTCTTGCTTCCCCCTGGCGCGCGACCATGGACCGCCATGAATCGCATCGTCAGGCGCTCGTGCAGCAAGGCCATAATCCAGAAGAGCGCATGGAACGACGGCCCTGGCAAGTTCACGCCCTTCCGAGCGTCGCCACTTGCCAGGTGCTGTTCTCGCGGCCGGGACGTTGCGTTTGGCGGGAAAGGGTACTGACCTCCATCCTTGTCCTGGAACACACTCCAATACGGCAATTTGGACTCGGTCTTCAGCGGCAGGTTGACGCCGAACGCCTGTTCCAGCCGCGCTCGCACCAGATGCCGCTCCCACTGCGTCCTCGTGTACTGATAGGCGTCTTCCGACAAGCGTTCGGCATCTTGCAGAAAGAAAATGCCCGTGTGGCGCGGACACTTTGCATCCTGACAACAGTGCACAGCGAAATCCGTCAACCGGCTCTGGCAGAATGCTTCCTGCGCCAAGACCCTCTCCGGAGACAGCTTTCTGTCGCCCGGGTCGCAACAAATCACCGACGCGCACAAGCTGAAGCCGGGCTGGATGCACTGGCAGTCTCGGTCGATCTCTCCATGCGCCACAGACAGCACCACCTTGTCGGATTCCGAGAAGATGTCGGAGGTCTCACCCAGTTTGTTCACGTTAACCAGCTCCCCCCAGCGCAGTACATAATGCCCAGCCACAGTGTCCGGTGAAGAGAACTGCAACGAGCCAGGCAAAGGATTCGAAGTTGCGAGCACGAGCTCCGTATCCTGCAAAGAGTAGTGTGCATGATAAAGAGGTGCATCTTGATTTACTTCTTACAGGCCTCTCTCCGCTTCAGCTTCTCGTTGCGGAGCATGACTCGGGCGCGCTTCTGTCGCACCTGTCGCAGACAACGTCGGCGAAGACTGCTGCTGCTGTTGCAAGGACATGGGCGGAGCCAGGCCTT